ATATAAGTCTAATAAATAAATAAATGATAGATAGATAGATTAGAATAGATAGATAGAGAGAGAGATAGATAGATAGATAGATAGATAGATAGATAGATAGATAGATAGATAGATAGATAGATAGATAAATGGTTAAAAAAAATACCCAGACAACACTTTGTTCCTATAATATGTATAATTTGTATTAAAAAAAATCTAGAATTATTAAAAAAAAAGATTGGGAACCTCTGTTATAGACAAATGATTCAACTTCATTGATCTCCAAGTGTAACACTATTCATTTTCAAATACACTCATTCCTGGTAGATGACTGTGATCTTGATGTTTTGTGCCTTCTCTCTTGATAGGACCTTGGCTGAGTACTGCCCTAAGCTTCGTGCCTTGAAGGTGAAGCACTGTCACGATGTGGCGGAATCCAGCCTGAGTGTATTGCGTAGTCGTGGAGTGGAGTTGGATGTTGAACCTCCATTTCAGCGTGCCCTAGTTCTCTTACAGGATGTCGTGGGCTTTGCCCCATTCATTAATCTTCAGATCTAATGAAAATACTGGAATCTGTTTCCGGGTAATCCCACAAAGTTTAGAAGTTTAAGCTTCCATCTTTTTCATTATGAACTGGGCCTGTTTTGAGCCATTAATTCCTCATGTGGAAGTTTGAGTTGAAAAAAACAAACTATGTGTTCTGAGCAAGGCTTCCCAAGAGCATGAAGCAAATTCCTTGTCCCAACAAAAAACCCTTTTATTAATTTACTGTGAATTCTGCTCATTCACATCCAGCAAAGTCTTTCAAGGGAGGATTTACTGTCACAGAACTTATCTGGCTTGGAGAGCTGCCAGGCCGATATCTGCAAAACTTGACAAGGAGTCTCGGAGAGTCATGAACCAATTAAGCGGACTAATTGCCTCCTGCAAACTCCACTCCCCTTTCGCTCCTCTTTTATTTCCTCTGGGAGGGGGCCTTCATTGTTCACCTGTGACCTTACTCCCAAGTTGACCCCTGCTCTTTAGCTGTTCCCTTCATCTGGCAATTCTGCGCACACTGGGAACAGGCTCCAGCCATTTATCTGCCTCACTGATGTCTGATTCTAAAGGCAGCTGATAACTGTCAGATGGCCCTGGCCCCCTCTCTGCCTCCAACACAGAGCCCTCATCAGAGCCTTGCCCAGACTCCAGGACTGGCCCATGTTCCTCCCCAACCTCCTTACTGTCTGAATCTGCTGCCAGGCCACAACACTATGCATTTGCATGAAAAGTATAATTTCCAGCTCCCGTTTATTGCTGCTTCTCATTCATTGCTCTACCTGTCTATTATTAAAAATATTCTAGAGATTGATTTGAACTGTAAAGTAGCTCCAATCTATGGCATTGTTGAATCTGTTATCCAGTGACTTTTTCATATGGAACGTGACAAATCAGCATGGAAATACTGTGGGAAGATTAAAAAGCTTTCTGGAGGCCAAGAGATAAACAACAACACTGTAATTTTCTGTTGTTTTGAACGGAATGCTTGAGAAATACTGCATCTATTTAGAGTTGCTATTATTTTTTTAGTTTTGCAGTTCTTTTTAGGGTTGAAGGAAAGACACTTTTAAGTCAAGCTTGAAGTCTTGGTGATTGTGTGGACACAGCCACACAGTTTTAGTATATAAGTATTGTGGTGGATTGCCATTGTCTTTTGGGACATTTTGACCTTCCAGTCATAACTATAGTCCTAATGGTGATTCAAGTATTAATCAGACTCAATTTTGGTAGTAAAACTGTGCAAAACATTTCCTGCAGAAATTCTTCGTCATTCGAAACATGTTTGAACCATGGTGGATTTGATTTAAATCACGATTTAAATCACTAATAAAAAGGCTTGATTTAAATCAAGTCGACTTAAATCATAATTTTTAAAGAGCAACTGTCATCTCTGTGCCGCAGTGGCTCCTTCTCTGACCTGCTGTTGACTCACCGACAGTCCCGATATTGCAGAATATACAGCCTCATGCTACGTAACTACCGTATTTTTGGAATATAAGACGCACTAAGGTTTTGAAGAAGCAAATAAAAAAAAGTGTTTGCACAATGCAAATCTCCCAAAAATGGCTCGTTTTTCGTGAAAACGGGCCCATTTCTTTCAAAAAAAGGGCATGAATAGCCCTTAGGAGGCTTGTAGAGTGTTTGTGGGAAGGGAGTTAGAGTTAGGGTTTCAGGCGGTGAAAAATGCTGTATTCAGTGTATAAGATGCACCCAGATCTTCACCCTCTTTTTTGAGGGAAAAAGGTGCGTCTTATACTCTGAAAAATACGGTAAGTGCCGTTTCATGCTGAGTAAACCAAATTATTAATGTATCTTAAATAGAAAACTATCTTTAGATAGATTTTTACTCCAAAAGCATTTTAAGATAAATTTGATAAAAAAAAATTAAAAATCTGATTTAAATAAAAAAAATCCAATTGGTTTGACTTTAAAAAAAAAAAACATCGAGTTTCGAGTTTAATAACATTTATATGCCGCCCAATCCCGTAGGACTCCGTGCGGCTTACAATACAGAAATAAAATCAAAAAAATAAAATACAAGGAAAAAGAAAAGATAAAAAACAATACCCCATACACTCCGTTCTAAATGGAGCTGGACCGTATTTTAGAGTCAACAGCCCCAGGCCTGCCACATGCTGTACATATCGATTGTCTTGAATGAGAAACACCTAATCTGAGTAATTTGGAAGTGTTTCAAACTCAAAACAGTTGTGTTCCATGCAGGGGTGAAATCAACTTACCTTCGCTACCAGTTCGCAAATGTGAGCGTGCGCACATGTGCAGAGCATCAAAAATGGGATGGGATGAAATCCAGGTGGATGAGTGAAGCCTCCCACTGCTACCAGTTCACCTGAACCGGGTAGAATCGGCTGAATTGCACCACTGGTTCCACGTGTGATTCTGTTTTGCCAAGACAGTTCAGTTCAAAATGTTCTATATATCCTTGCTTAATTTCTGAGCCTAAACATGGTCAGAATTACCGAACCAATGGATTATAATACTGGCATCCATAAAATTGTCTCCTTTGAAAGACAAAGATAGTAATTATGTGCAGAGAAAAAAATTACTGTAACTAATATTCAAATGGCTGAAAAACCATTGGAAAGTTCATGTCTGAAAGAAAGCATATTTCATAGTAATTTACGTGAATATGATTAAGTTATACCCAAAGCCTTGTAGATCAGCAAATGTACTCTGTTAGCAATTGTAGGTCTTCTGTGTGCAAAGATAGGTTTTAAAGATTGTATATATAAACTAAGGAAATCCTAATATCTTAGATAAGTAAGGAGTTTACTGTCTCACTTCTTGGCCAATAACTAATAAATCAAGTACTTCCTTGAGAATACACAGGGCTAAGTCAAATAATTCACTGTAGCTTGCTATTCTTGTCTGGCTCAATACTGATCTATGTTACATCCCTCTTTTTATTTTTAACATCCTCCTTTTAAATTAACCAGTTTCTCGGTAAAATATCACGAATTTTGTGGATTATAACCATAAAGGGCTGATTATAATAAATCTCAAACTATGTATATAGTCTATGTTAAGATGGCTGACTTATATTATTCTTGGGAAATTTGTAAGAATATTTTTTCTAGTAAGAGTTACTGAACCTGTCAATTGAAAGCAAATTTTATTTCTCTCCCCTTAACAAGAGGCATAGAGTCAGTACTGTGGTATACAGTTGTGTAATTCAAACATGCATGAGGTGTGCTTCCAATTTAAATACTGTGCAGAAAATAGTATGTATTTCAATTCTCAAAAAATTGGGAACTAATAGAATACACCTATGTCATTGCCTCAAACCTGCACTATCTGACTCAATGTAGACGCACTGCTGCTTTTTATTTAATGGATATTATAAAAGTTCTATAAAAAGAGACCTATTAAAGGAGAATTGCACACTCTTTAGATAAGGATATATTACGCTATGAAGAAGGATTTTTTGTCAGCTAGTTGCAGCTTGTTAAATTGCACATGTGATGTTCCTTAATGTTACCTTCTTTGCTGTTATAAGTCTCAGGTTGGTGATCATGGATAACAATTCATGAAAGTGAAATTGGACAAGTTGGAGTATGTTAGAACCGATTTTTTGGGGGGGAGATACTAAAGTGGCTTAGTGGTTAAGACGCTGAGCTTGTCATTCAGAAAGTTTGGCGGTTCAAATTCCTAATGCTGTGTAACGTAGTGAGCTCCCATTACTTGTCCCAGCTTCTGCCAACCTAGCAGTTTGAAAGCACGTAAAAAATCCAAGTAGAAAAATAGGAACCACCTTTGGTGGGAAGNTGTCGTGATGGACTCTTGTGACGAGCCGATTGACAGATGATGGAAGCAGTTAGCTTCCTCCCATAATTGGGGCTTACCAGGGGTTGTAAAAATCTTATATATATAATTTCTTAAAGTAGGCAAAAGATATTGAAAATGTATTTGAGAATAAAAGTTGTGAAAAGTTAAAGAAAATGATGTACCAGTTTAAAGAAAAACTCTCTGTTAAAAAGGATGCCTATAAAAAATATTATTCTATAAGGCAATTTGGAGAAAGGAACTAAATGTAATACTAAAGTTTAAAGCTTGTATGTTAAAAAGTCAGGGGAAAAGATGTATTTTTCAGCAAGGTCAAAAAATGTGAAAGAATACAATGAATTTTGTAAATAAAAATGGTGACAGGTCACAAAGAATATTAGCTGAAAATAGAAATACACATTATTTCCATAGCAAAAGAAATAAAGCAGGTATGGTTAAATTATTTTATTTAAATAGGAAAATATGTTCTTAATTGGATATCACTTGTGAGGGGAAAAATGAAACATTGGTTTTGTTGATGAGAAAGATTTGGTGTAATAGGAATGGCTAGTTATATGTTAATGTGTAAAAGTAAAAATTTGAGGTTGGAGTGTGTTTATCTTGTTGGAAATCAATGCCCCATTTCTTTCTTTCTCTCTTTCCCCTTGTATCTCTCACTCCTTTTTCCCTGCTCCCTTTCCCTCCCTTAATTTCCTATGATTTCTTCTCTTCTTTGTGTTTTATGTATTAAAATAAAACCTTAATAAAATAGTGCTCCCTTTCCATTGCTTACATTTCTTTTAAACAAACAGTATCTCTCTAATTCTGATTGTCCTCCCTTAATGACCATTCATCCAACAACTGTCCAAAGTTACAACAGCACTGAAAAAATGAACTTATAACTGATCCTAGCACTTAAGAATTGTTTCACTGTCCAGTCATGTAATCAATATTCAGGTGCTCGGGGACTGGCTCACATTGACACTTGTCACATTGTTTCATAGTCATATTCTTCTGCATGTGTAATCTTCCTCCACTTGCATTTCCTCCCTATATATCTCCTCCCCCTATCTTCAGTCTACAGTAGTGGCCAAAATTGTGGAAACCTTTTGGGAAAAGTGTATTTTGAGGTTTGATGGCTAATAACACCATTTTTGGGGGGAGTTTCAAGGTAATTATATTCCAATGCTGGAATGGCCTGGTAATAGCCCAGACCTTAACCCAACTGAAAATCTATGGAGTCAACTAAAGAAACTTGTTAGTCAGAAGAACTCAGCAATAAAACCCAGAATCATTCCATCTTGGTTTTACATTATCACAGCTGCAGAGCTGAAAAACTTGGTTCACTCCATGGGAAGACATTGTATTTCATGCTAAAGATTACCCAACTAAGAATTAAATGACATGGTGATAATTTTTGTATGTCTCGTT